AGTCCTCAAACTAACATTATTAATCCTCACTAATTTGGAGAGATTTCTGATTACAGACTTTCCCAGTACAATACACCTTCCAATCTCCTGACTGCTGGTACCAAGTGTATTGATTGTGGATCCAAGTGAGACAAAATCATTGACAGTTTCAATCTTTTCTCTGTCTACACTAAAAACATATATAGTACTTAGAATAGTTACTGATGGAATGATTTGTGACTACTATGTCCATGGTATCTACCATTATCTATTATATACTAGCTTCCATGGGAAGGATGGATGATCATTTGTTTGATAAGTCCCCCTTTATACAATAAGTGGGCTGTTTCCAAACTGTCTTGGTTCTAAACATACCACAAATAATGTCTTTAGTATAGCAAGGCACCTAGAAGAGGTAGGAAGAAGTAGTCACCTTAACATCTAGACTTTGTGCTGCTGGGAGGACACGAGCTCCAGCTAAGCAGGACCAGTTCTGTTTGGTTGGCTTGTGGGGGTTGAAGCTGTTGAAGAAGGTGGGAATGAAATATCCTTATTTGTGAAATAAAATGTAGCATCTCTCTCCAAAGCTGAAAGTGATGTGTAAATCTCAACCTCTTGAACACCAGAAAGTTGGAGGAAGAAAAGAAGTACAGGCCTGAATTCCTACCTGGTCTTTGGTCTTTTGAATGAGAGTAAAGTATTTCCCTTCATGTTGCTAGGAGGTGCTATTCCTTGGAGAAGGACCTGGTGCTTGGAAGCATGGAGAGTCAATGAGGGAGAGGAAGACCTTCAACCAGGTGGACTGACATGGTGACTGCCATAATGGGTGTCACGAAGTGTGAGGATGGTGCAGGATAGAAAAGGATTCAGATCTTTTGTTCATAGGGTAGCTATGACTTAACAACACTTAATAGCACCTAACAACAATTTTACTAATTGGTAAAATGGCTACAATTGGACTTGCCTGATTCCTGACTGGGAGTAGGGTGGGAAACTAAAGGACCATTCACTGTTAGGAGACCATGCCCAGTTTTGAGCTCTCAGGACTAGAGGGGAAAGGTTGGCTCTTGGCTGGAATTAAAGGGGCTTCGTAGGGTAGGACAGGAAAAGCTAACTCAGCTGGGACAAGATGAGTGAGAGAAAAGGGGCTAGAACAAAATCTTGCCTGTCCTGGGCTCCTGCATGCCAGGATTAATTATCAATTATCAATACCACCTTTATCAATTACTCAAACATCAACAGTCATTCACAGGGGCCTAATATGTGCCTGTGGTTTCAAACAAGGTTTCCATATGCTTGGTTTGCACCTAGAGGTAAACTGCTTTGAAATTTCAATCATATGATCTTGTTTTATCATCTGTGAAATAGGGCTAACCTAACCAACTTCTAAATATATAGCTAGCTATGTCTCCTAAGGCTAGTATTAAAAAGAATGTATATGAATGATTGTATGAAACACAATGTAAACTAAAGATTGTATAAAACAATGCATATGAGTGAAACATACTGTAGAGGTATTATTATATGAAAATAAAGAAAAAATATTAGAAGAAGTGTCTCCAAGAACTCTACAGCTAGCTTAGTGTTCAACTGTTAACCGAAAGGTCAACAATTCAAATTTTTTTCACAGCAGAAAAGTCAAAGCTGTTGCTGTGAACTGGCTTTGACAAACACTGTGGCATTTGGACAAGAACAAACTGGGAGGAGGGTAGAGAGAATGGTGCAGCGGTGAATGAATGGAAACCCAAAATCTCTGTAAATGTTTATGAA